CTCTTGCAAAATCCCCTTTTACTTTTAAATGTTAATTTATTTATTTTTCTCTTTATTAATCTAGTCTGACAGGTGTATTTACCTTCATCTTTTCCTCTCCGTCTGTTTATGCGCTGATACTCTCCTGACACCCTTTCCTTGTTTGTTTCATCCAAGTTGTGCGCGTATCTCAAAGAGATACCTCTGACCCAGACGTTTTTGTGTTCTCTTTTGACATTTCAGTGACCTTTTGAACTCAGCGCCATGTTTTTACTGTCTATTCTTTTCACTTTGTGTGTAGTAAAAGTAAGAGAGCTGAATTTGCTTTTCCTCCATTCTGTTTTATTCTCTTTGAAGACAGACGGATGAAAAGGAGGATGGGGGAGGGTGTTAACACTTTTCATAAAGCAACTCCAGGCAATATGGATAGGAGGCTGGCAGCGTTTCTACATGTACATGAAGCTGAGATACACTTTCCAATAAAGAGCCAATATATATAGAATGTTGACATTTACATCAACCGCACCAGGCAGTTTTTTATTTTCTCTTTTAGTAATGCAAATTCATTCCATTTGAATGTAATTTACAATGAAAAAAAAAGTTTTTCAAAACAATACAGCTTTAAATATTTCCATAGTTTAAGATTGAATTGTGAAAGCACCAATTTAAAATGCATTCAATTTACGATCCCCATCTTTGAAGTAGAACATTTTCACTAACAAAGGAACACAAACAAACAAAGGCAGACAAACAAACACAAAATAAATGGTAACATTGTACTACTTTACTAACCATAATAGTCAATGTAATAGCTCAACATTTCAGTCACTCTAAAGGAAGAGAGACATTACATGAATTGAATCAATAATGCGTTTTATACTTTTAATTTACCAACATGTAAATCAATAAAACTGTCCGAAAGCAAACATTTTAAGGGGAAACTGCATTTATTCGAATACAGATTCCCCAAAATCAGATAATTGTTCAATTAAATTGCACGAGTAACTCCTATTCTCACTAAGCATGCACCCACAATCAAATCTATTAAAAAGTGCTGATTTTAAATTTGAAAAGTATTTTCAATCAATTCAAGAACATAGATGGACTTAAAGAAATAAATAATTGTCAGTAGTGCTAATAATCATTGTGCATGTAACTTCATTGAGTTTCGGATCAATGCTTTGTGCCTAAAAGCCTGCTTCTGCATGTTTGTGTCATCAAGTGAGCTGAATGCACAGGCTTCGACTTGCCCTTCATTTTTAGCTACTTAATGAAATGGCTGCTGGGTGTGGGCTGAGTAACGCTGCTGCGGTGATGACTCCAGACCTTTCTTCAGTCGGAGTTCAGACATTGAAACCCACAGAATTGAAATGTGGAATACTTCATGACGGAGGATGTATCGTCATAAGTCCAACTGGGGAATGCGTTCTTCATAGGCTTACGTAAACAAGCCAGAGATTGAAAGGGTTTATTTCACCAAACCTTTGTAGCCAGCAGGGCTGAAGTGAAAGGTGAAAAGAAATATCCAATGAACAAGTGAAAAATCCACATGATTTAAATAAACTGAAGTGCTTTAGAATTTGAGAATTCTACCTGTTAAACTTTTAGAAAACAGGACTTTGAAAGCGTCGAGTATTTACGTAACAAGGACAAAAAGACAGTGAATATGCATTGAAGTGAGTTGAGCCTTGTTGACAGAGTGGCCTTTTGTTCCTGGCGAGGACAGTTTCTAGATTGAATTGATCTGACTTTAGAGCCTAAGCATTCATCTTGGTCACTCATCTCTGATCTGTGGCTGTCAAGAGGAGATGGGGTTTTCAGAGAAATAGACAGCTTGGAGAGCGAGTGAAAGGTTCACTTTACCTCTGGACCCTTTCCCTCACTACTTTAGTGCTTACTTCTTAGTAGAAATCAGCAAACTTCCCATAAAAAAATATTTTGAAACTATTCAGTCTACAAAAGTCTCTATTGGATAAGTCGATGTCAACAAAGTAATCAACATATATTATAATTATAAACAGATTTTTTATTTCTCAAACAGTTCCAAATTGTGAAATGTCATCATGTCCTTCTTTATAGCTAATATTGAACGTACATGTTTAATATGTTATACTGTCGGTCAAACACAAATATGTTTGTTTGATGATATAACCATAGAGAATTGTGAAATCACACTTTTTAACATTTCTGACATCTTGTTGACATTAATTGAATCATCCAAAACAAAATCATTTATGAAATATATCATGAAAATGTGCACTGATTTCATCATCATGTTCCCATGGGATTGTGCCTCCTGTTATATCTAAGAAAGCTTTAAGACAAATTGAATTACACAATTGTTTCAGTCATCACAACAAAATATGAAATAGTTAATGTAGTTAAAAAAAAAAGTATTGATTTACAATCAATTCAAGCGTAAACACAGCAGTACTGTAGGAAAACATCTAGAGACAGAACTAAGTGCTCCATCACTTTCATCCTGCTGCAACTGAAGGCTGTTAGGTCCTGCAGACATATTTTCCTCTGAGATTTCCGCTTTAGTTCACCTCTTTTTAAGGACCCCCCCTGAAAAAAAGGAAAGATTTGTTGGCACAGTGCAGCTCAGCACTGTCACTCCAATTTAGAAAGCTGTTAGCTGATCCTTTTGACCGTGTCTTCCGCTACCTGGGCCATTTCTAAGCCACAGATGATAATCCTCAAGGGATCCTCATTAAGTCTTTGCTCCAATTAAGCCTCGCTCATTTTGCCGCAGCACAATTGCTCTGTACCGCAGCGCACAAATCCTCCAACAGTGGATTAGGCTGATCGGTGGGTGGGATGAAAATAGCAGCGTGGTAAGTCGGGGGAAGAGGTGAGACTTTCTTAGGTGTCAGCAGCCACTGCTCGCACGTCCAGGGGTGTGCATCAAACTATTTGAGTTGAAGGAAAAAATATCACATGTGAAAATATACTAAATTCGGAGCTACAGTAGATATGGCTTATTTAAGTGGCTCAAATGTGGCTTAGCGAGGGGAATCACTGTGCAAGCTGGTACTGCTGAACCTTGATATAGTGAATACATTTCTGCTGGCACTGGGGTTTCTGATATATATTCATACATATTCCAACAGTTTCATAACCTCATATATATCCAGTTTAAGTTTGGATGGGAGTGACTTGATCTGTTATGTTTTCATCTCATGGACTTCACTCTGTTTTTTTTATGAAGACATGGACATCTTGAGTTCAGAATCAGAATCAGAAACATGTTTATTGCCAGGTAGGTTCACACGATGAGGAATTTGACTTGATGTCATGGTGCATACATAAAATATAAAACAAAAAATGTAAAAAATACACAGATAGCGAACTATATTATGAACACTGTAAAAAAATATAGATAGATAACAATAAAATAAAGCAGTAATTTACAGCGAAATAGAATGCAGTGAATTATAGAATATTAAATATGTGCAGTAAGCAATATTTGAACAATATTTGAACATTGTGTGCATTAATGTAATGCGTATAGAGTCTGCGTTGTGGCTGAGGTAAAGTGTCAAGAGTTGTATGTGAAATGAAGGAAAGGTCACATATTGTTTAGTGTTGACCAAAACACATCAACAGGAAAACAATACTTACATAACGAGAGATAAAAAAACAGACAGACATGGTGAATCAGCAAAATAATATTTCTAAATTGTTCTAGTACAATCTTTAACAGAACTAATCCCTGGTTTGAGCTGATGGGGCACTTATTATTTGAAAGGTTCAGTGACATCAAAGCTTTTGTCCCACTCAGCAGCACTACACTGCATTATCAAATACTAGTTTTTGCTTCATCATGTGTTTTGAGTTGCCACGTAGTCCAGAACTCTTCCAGTCAATGTAATGTATTAATCGGTTAGCTTTCACAACCCAGTGAACACATAATTTTGAACATGAATGGTGCCAGCACGCAGTCGGTTCTGGCCGGCCACGTTGGCAATAACAGACCAACAAAATATTTTAGCCAACGGCTCACGTTACGCTCGAAGAAAGAACATTCAGCCATCATATGCTTTGAAATTCTACCTACCCATCACAGTCGTATTGCTATCCTTGTCTTCAGCACCTTAGTATTCAGTATATGATGCTTTTACCATCAACTGCCATGGATTGGGTTTCATCACTAAACATTTACTTCCTTCAAGGTAGATTATATTTCCTTTCCAGCGCAGATATTAGACACATTATCACTTCAAATGTATTGCTTTGAATAGTTTTTTCACATTATAGTGTCTATGTAGTTTTGGCAGCTTGAGAGACAAACCTAAATACTTGTACAGATCAAGAGTGCAGCTCATTGGTTAGATATACTTATTAACAAGAACTAGTAAATCCTTGCTTCACGTATTCTGTAGATATTTTTTATTCAGCTACCAGTTTTTGTGCTTCTGTCTTTTGCTCCATGAACAATACTTTCATCAGAGAACCATAGCAAGCACGGGCAAATTTAAAATGCCATGACCTACTATTGTTTTATTTTTGTTTTTGTTTAAAGGAAAGTAGTTACCCCACACGTTGCTGTTTGTCGCCATTAATGCCCGTCTGTAGATAAGTGTCAGTTGATCTAACGTATTGCCTTTAAACTATTGCCAGTTGCCATGCCATGTTGCTAGTTGCCATGCCATGTTAAGGATGTGTCAGTCAGCCGGGGACATCCACTGTCCAAGTCTGCACCCCTCTGAATGGCATGAGCCCTGCATATGTTACTCGCTTGTCTTCCCCCGACCCAAATGCTGGTGTAATGAGCCGTTCTCTGGCAGCTGTTTAGGCAGAAAAATGATCAAGTTGACCAAGCAAGGAGAAAGATTCTGTGCCTGTGTCATACAGGTCTTTTCCTGCCTGCTATCCCGGTGCGGCTTAGCTAATGTTCTTCCTTAGAGTGACATTTCTTCCAGGATGTTTATCGTGGATCGCTGGGCATTTGTAGTGGCTGACTCGTGAGCTCACTCTCCATGTCTACTCTGATTTGTGTTTCTTTGTTTTTCTCGCAGACCCCGGAATAAGTGAGCTGTGAATAAAGTCCCACTGGAGCTTTTCTAAAGGACTCCCTTGCTTCTCTGACAGCATATGGACATCTGACATTGGGTAGCAGGTATGTCACTATAAATGTTTCTTATAATTGTGTAACAGCTGTACCCTTTTTATTTCAGTTCTTAAAGTCTGTTTTTTTTTTTGGACCGCAACCTCCAGCCTCTCCGGTTGATATTCTGGGCTCTATCAAAAAAAACATCCTCCCCTCGGTCATGAACCTTGGAGTGACCTTCACTAGCACTTTTAAATTCGACAAGCAGGTCAGCACCGTAGTAAAATCCTGCTTTTTTAAAATAAGACTATTGGCCAAAACCAAGTCGTATTTATCTTTTAATAACTTAGAAAGGGTTATTAACGCCTTTGTAACCTCGAGACTGGACTATTGTAACGCTCTGTATGTGGGTATGGACCAGGCCTCAATTAAACGCCTACAGCTAGTCCAAAACGCTGCTACACGTTTGCTGACTGGCCACAAAAAGCGTGACCACATCACCCCTATTCTGGCCTCTGGCTTCCAGTTCGGTTCAGAATTGATTTTAACCCTTGTGCCCTCCTCGAATGTTCAACCTTTCGACCCCTTCGTGGCAAAAATGTACACGCCCATAATAACTTCTATTAAATCATCATATATCAATATTTCTTTCTACTTTTTGTTTCATGAATCACATAAACAACTTATAACATACTCAGAACTAGCAAACATTCAATACTTTTCTGGATTTTAACCCTTTAAATGCCTGTTTAATTATTTAAATTATTTCATTATTTATTACAAAAAAACACAAAAAATGAGTTTTTTTCAATATAATAATTAGTAGAGGGATGGAACTTTGGTGGTTATTAGAGTCTGGGATGTGTCAAAGATTAGCAACAAAATTGATTTGACTGCATTATTATTTTTTACGTAGTGTCAGATACTACCTCTGGACCCCTTCGTGGCAAAAATGTACACGCCCATAATAACTTCTATTAAATCATCATACATCAATATTTTTTTCAACTTTTTTTTCATGAATCACATAAACAACTTCTAACGTACTCAAAACTACCATTTTCGGTTTCGATTTTAACCCTTTAAACGCCTGTTTCATTATTTTCATTATTTCATTTATCTCAAAGATGCCACATTGACTTCCATTCAGACCACATTTGTTGATCTCACTGCCATTGCAGTATAAAACCATGCATTTTGTAATGTCAGTATTTCATTTAGAAGAAAAGTAGTGATATTTGATATTTCTACTCTATTCCAACAGATTAAACCATTTTCCCACTGTAGGCCGATGCATTACATTCTTACATTTTTGCCAGTTATATTATGGAGCCGTGTGACTACCAGGGGGCCCCGAGAGTGGTGTGTGTGTGTGTGTGTGTGTGTGTGTGTGTGTGTGTGTGTGTGTGTGTGTGTGTGTGTGTGTGTGTGTGTGTGTGCGTGTGTGCGTGTGCGTGTGTGCGTGTGTGTGTGTCATTTCCAGCAGCAGACTAGCAGGTCCTGCAGCATGTGACCTGGTGCTCTCAGGTGATAGAACACAATTTTTTTAGGCCTGTGCACAACCAGCACACACCTCTCCTCCCTCTCCGTGTGTGTGTGTGTGTGTGTGTGTGAGAATCTGTAAGCATGCACAGATCATTTCATGGGAACAAAAGGCCATCTTTTGAGGGATGTGTTTGATGTGTCTTTGAAGAGCTGCTTGATTACTCAAAAACAAAAAACAACTGTTAGTGTGTTTATGCACCTGGATGCCAAAGATAAACATGCAGTTTGACCAAGGGCTTATTTCATTAGTAAGCAGAGAAGGATAAAGACCTGGAGCAAAGAGAAGGAACTCAAATGAAGAAGCTTTTCAGTGCAGAAGAGACTTCAGAAATAATCTTGCAGCCTTCTTCTGCCAGCGAGCTGCAGGACTCATCTGAAGAAGACACAAGGTTCGAGGGGGGGTCTGACACTGAATGCTCTCTGGGGTCTGACACTGAATGCTCTCTGGGGTCTGACACTGAATGCTCTCTGGGGTCTGACACTGAATGCTCTCTGGAGTCCAGCATTTCTTTGAGTTCCTCTGACCCTTCATCTGAAAGTGGAGAGGACACTGAGGGTCCGGCCCACAGTGAGGGGACAGAGAAGAACGGAGGTCGTTCTCCCAGGAGCTGGGGAAAACCAGGGTGTCCTCACAGATTGTGAGAAGAAAGCCCCCCGTGGTGGTGGATGGTGGGCCGGACCCTCAGTGTCCTCTCCACTTTCAGATGAAGGGTCAGAGGAACTCAAAGACATGCTGGACTCCAGAGAGCATTCAGTGTCAGACCCCCCCTCGAACCTTGTGTCTTCTTCAGATGAGTCCTGCAGCTCGCTGGCAGAAGAAGGCTGCAAGATTATTTCTGAAGTCTCTTCTGCACTGAAAAGCTTCTTCATTTGAGTTCCTTCTCTTTGCTCCAGGTCTTTCTCCTTCTCTGCTCACTAATGAAATAAGCCCTTGGTCAAACTGCATGTTTATCTTTGGCAGCCAGGTGCATAAACACACTAACAGTTGTTTTTTGTTTTTGAGTAATCAAGCAGCTCTTCAAAGACACATCAAACACATCCCTCAAAAGATGGCCTTTTGTTCCCATGAAATGATCCGTGCATGCTTACAGATTCTCACACACACACACACACACACACACACACACGGAGAGGGAGGAGAGGTGTGTGCTGGTTGTGCACAGGCCTAAAAAATTGTTGTTCTATCACCTGAGAGCATCAGGTCACATGCTGCAGGACCTGCTAGTCTGCTGCTGGAAATGACACACACACACATACACACACGCACATATACACACACACACACACACACGCACACGCACACGCACACACACATACACACACACACACACACACACACGCACACGCACACGCACACACACATACACACACACACACACACACACATACATACACACACACACCACTCTCGGGGCCCCCTGGTAGTCACACGGCTCCATAATATAACTGGCAAAAATGTAAGAATGTAATGCATCGGCCTACTGTGGGAAAATGGTTTAATCTGTTGGAATAGAGTAGAAATATCAAATATCACTACTTTTCTTCTAAATGAAATGCTGACATTACAAAATGCATGGTTTTATACTGCAATGGCAGTGAGATCAACAAATGTGGTCTGAATGGAAGTCAATGAGGCATTTTTGAGAGAAATGAAATAATTAAAATAATTAAACAGGCATTTAATGGGTTGAAATCCTGCCAATGATTGAATGTTTGGTAGTTTTGAATACGTTAGAAGTTGTATATGTGATTCATGGAACAAAAAGTAGAAAAAGATATTGATGTATGATGATTTAATAGCAGTTGTTTTGGGCGTGTACATTTTTGCCACGAAGGTGTCCAGAGGTAGTATCTGACACTACGTAAAAATTAATAATGCAGTCAAATCAATTTTGTTGCTAATCTTTGACACATCCCAGACTCTAATAACCACCAAAGTTCCATCCCTCTACTAATTATTATATTGAAAGAAATTCATTTTTTGTGTTTTTTTTTAAGAGAAATTAAATCATTCAAATAATGAAACAGGCATTTAAAGGGTTAAAATCCTGAAAATTATTGGATGTTTGGTAGTTTTGAGCACGTTAGAAGTTGTTCAAGTGATTCATGGAAAAAAAAGTTTAATAAAATATTGATGTATGATGATTTAATAGCAGTTTCTATGAGCGTGTACATTTTTGCCACGAAGGGTCCAGAGGGTGCAAAATGCATCACGAGAGTATACAAAACATGTAAGAGTAAACGACATTGGATTTCAAAAATTTGACTCAAAAGAAGACTTCTTGCAAAAATCCATGCCAAAAGCTGTAACACAGCTGAAATGAACACCAAATAAAAAAAAAAAGTCAGGAAAAATGTACAAAAATGCCCGAGGAGGGCACAAGGGTTAAAATCCTTTTATTTGTTTTTAAAGCACTAAATGGGCTGGCTCCGGCCTATATAGCTGAACTGCTCCAGCGCTACACCCCAACAAGAGCTTTAAGGTCTGCTGACCAGCTGCTGCTGGTAGTGCCCAAGACCAGGCTAAAAACCCGAGGGCACCGAGCCTTCGCAGCAGCTGGCCCTAGGCTCTGGAACACTCTGCCCCTCCATGTGAGGTCGGCCCAGACCCTAGGGGTTTTTAAATCTAAACTAAAAACACACTTCTTCTCTCTGGCTTTCTAGTTAGAGCGGAGCACGACTCCTGACTTTTCCGTGTGTTTTATTTTTATTTTGTTTTTAAGATATATCTGTTGTAATTTATTGTCGTTTATTGTAATTGTAGTAATGTGTTTTTATTACATGTACAGCACTTTGGCTCGACCAAAAAAATCGCTTTTAAATGTGCTATATAAATAAAACCTGATTTGATTTGATTTGATTTGATGAAAAGGTCAGTTATGAATAGTACTTAAATATGGCCAAAAGAGCCACACAAACCATGGCATTCTACAGAAATCACAGCATCCCTTATAACTGCATAACTGTATATAACTATGTAAAACTCAATCTAAACATATCTGTTAGGTGGGTTGCCAGGATTTTAATAGAACAATGTGAATTAAATGGAATGTTAAATGCAAGGCAAAGAACGATAAGTACTGTTTTTCTGTTAAACCGCTGAGCCATAGTTTTCAGGTTTTAAATTAAATAAATGACATGTGCTAGAAGCTAACCAGCCATTAGAGTCATTTTAACTCTGCTGGGAATATAGAGAGTCTCTTGGAGCTTTGGCAGTAGCTAGCAGGACATGTAAGAGAGCCTGTGTGGGTACCACCTGTGTTGCAGCTAGATGAGCATCTCTACTATGCGAGGCTCTCCAGTGTGGGTGTATTTGGGGGGTTTTAGTACATAGCTGCTACAAACTACAAGCAACAAGAAGTATTGTGAATATTTCGTATAATGCCAACACAAATCCATCTGATTATGTGTGCAGGGAATAAACAATAACGTGTGTCATTCCTCTTCAATTGATTTTCCTTTGTCTGGCCAGTTGTCAAGATACAGTGTGAGTTTGGCCCTCTTTTCAGTACCGTCACCTCTCT